TAAGCGAGATCCCAATTCGTCGGTCATCCGACGTGACGTCTCCGTTCCCTCCTTCAGGGAACGAGGGTTTCCATACGTAACCGAGACGTTTTGCGTTTTCAACAATACAACTAAAATTGAATGGGTGCATATTTTAAAATAAAAATATTATTTGCAGTTCAGATTGATTACTTTACAAAAATTCTTATTCTTGTTCTTTTACTGTTATTTTTTCTTTAATTCATTCCCCTAAATCCATTTAAATCCTTTATTTATTTAGTTTCTTTAAATAAATACTATTACCATAGTGGTCTGGCCTTTATATTTTCCTCAAAACAATTGGTCCCTCCAATGTTCTATGTATGGGTTTGTTCCCCTTCGGCTAGGGGTGGGCGATATAGCAAAAAATATCACAATTTTTTTTTTTGTTTTTATATTAGGATTCACGATTTTATCACGATTCTTTGTCATGTTGATTTTTCTATTTTGCAAGCTGTTTGAGCATTACAGCCAAACTAATTTCCCTATTATAAAGACTTTCAAGGTAACAAAATATTAAAAGATATATAGGATATATAGGCCAAAGTGGGTGAAGATAAAAAAATCTTTGTCATTATTTTATCTTTGTTATAGAACAAAGAGAACAAAGATACACATTACAAATACACATAATATACAAATAAAATAAACATAATGAACAAATATAAAAATAAAACACTATATATACATTGATTCCTATTAAAGCAACTGTATTAAAGTTTTTCAGTCAAGAGTATTGAGTGATTTTTCTCTTTGTGTTTGGTGTTTTATTAAGATTAAAGGAATAATTCACCCAAAAATTAAAATAGGCTAGTGTTTTATTTTTATACCTTCATTTACTCACTCAAAAGTTGTTTTAAACGTGAATGAGTTTCCTTCTTCTGCTAAACATAAACGCTATTTTGAAGGAGGTGGAAAAACAAACAGTTGATGGTATTTGCCCTAGTATTTTTTTTTCTATCAAAGTCAGTGTGGACCAGCAACTGTTTGGTTACCCAGATTCTTCAAAATATCTTCTTTTGTGTTCAGCACAAGAAAGAAATTAATATAGGTTTGGGACAACATGTGAGTGAATAAATAAATGACAGAAATTAAGTTTTAGGGTGAACTATCCCTTTAATTACAGTCGGCAGCATGTTCAGTACTGTCCCTTTAAGACCTGCACGCATCTAATATACAGGCACACATCCATTGTTTACTTTCATTTTAGACATAACCAACTGAGTCTATACATAAACCGTGTGTGTTTTGACAGTATTAGCACAAAACATAACTTAGTTCAGTAATCAGGCACTGTTTGACGGGCTTTTTCGTTTTCGTGTGCGCACTTTGGGAGTGCTCAGAAAACGCGCTTGTCAGAACAGCACACGAATGAAACGTTTAACAAGGCTTTAAAGCAGATGCAAAAAATTTACTTTTGTGATTGTGAATAAGTGCAATAGTAACTCTACCGCTGAGTTAACACTGATGTTAATGTATGTCGCGTTGTACAGTATATTGATTCGGCGGCACCAGAACTGCAGCTGATAGAATGTGCGCTGTAGCACGATACAACGATATTTCTTCAAAAGCAGATCGTGGAGACATTTTTATCGTCCACGATCAAAAATCTTCATATCGCACACCCCTACCCTCGGCAGAAATCGCGGACCGGTGGCAGACCGGACTGCAAGGGCACTTTAGCGTCGGACCTCAAACTCAAGCCCCCCAGCTCCCCACCCCCCTCCCTCCCTGTGCACGCCACTGGCTTTTTGGTTCATTGAGTACAAAACATTTTAGAATCCCTACAGCGGGCAGTGAGCTTTGATCTTTAAAAGAACTAAAGATAATCCAGGACTTTATCATGGCTTTTTGGCTTCAAAAATATTACTCTACTCTAATAAAGTTAACTTTTCATGAGCAGTATTATTATTTGAACATTTGATGGTTAAAATCGTGTGCACAATGTGTTTTGAGTTGGGCACTTACATTCTAATGATGTTCTTAACGTTGAAATTGTCCAGGGGTGAAACATCTGGATTTTCTCCCTTCTCATCTTGTAGAACAATTTGCTGAAGGATGCGGTCTAAAAGTTGCCATTGCTGTATACTGCCTGCACCACGTTTATCTGAAAACATTTTACAAAGTCATAAACAAGCCTTTTTTGGGATATGATGTCATGGTAATGCCATGCTTTTCTGGACATGTAACATGATATTTAAATGGTATTCTTGGAGCATGTACATATCATATGAATATGATAATTCCTTAGTCCCACGCATCTATAAAAGTAATACAGTTTTACAATCTGATACCATCACTTCATTAGCTGTGAAATGCAGGGATGGTTATAATTAAATACAAAGGAAATGATACAAAACACAAACATATATAGTAGGCACTGTTCCAAACTTAGTAAGCTGCCTACAAAGAAAGCATTTCAATTTTCAAGGCATCACAGGCATGCTCCAAGCACAAAGAGTATTCCAAACACAAATTATTCCAAAAAATAAAAAGGTATATTTTGAATGGGTCAAATGGAAGAGTTCAGATCCTCACATGGCATTTGGAGGCAGTGCTTTAAGATAGATAGAAGGTGGGGGTAGGCATCTGTGTTGCTCAGTTTCTTCTTGATCAGCTCAAACATCTGTCCAGCACTCTTGGTGTCCACGTGTGTCTGGACAAAAAAAGTCCATTAATTTTTTTTTTCCAGTTAGGACACACATGAAGCCAGGAGCCTTATAAACAAATCTAATAATACCAAGCTGTTCTGTATATAATAAGTGCTCTGTAAATTTAAGGACATGATATGAAAAAAGGCATGTGCAAATAGGTAAAATATCTTACAGTGTCAAAGCATTTGGCCAATTCTAACTCATCCTCATTCCGCACCATCTCAAAAAAGTCCAGATGTCTGAAACAAACAAACACAGCCTTTCTATTAGAAGCAACAGTATGATGCATTTACTGATTGTTAGGTGGAAAAGGAGCACCATTTTAACTGGTGTTCTGTACCTGTCGAGCGTGGCATTATCATGTGCTCTCAGCTTCTCGATGACTGGCTGAATTCCTAACATCAGAAACTCATACCTAAGATGAAGGCGAAACTCTAGACTGTCCTTTGAGAGAAACAAAGGAAATCATCATGTTAATAGTGTATATATATCATATCATTTTTTTTTTAATGTTTAAGGAAGTTCTGTCTTCAGCTGACCTCTCCAACTCCAGCATTCAGCACAGCGTTTATGAATGACATGATGGCTGTCTTCAGATTTACTTCCTCCCTGTAGTGTCCTGTGCTTCTGTCCAGCTCGTTCAAAAGAGACTGAGTAAAAAAATACAAAAATATCTAATTAAATACAATTAATCTAATTAAGATTGATTTTTCCCCCACCAAATATCTGGGTTTTTTTTTCAATTAGAGTATTGCATTATTATCTAAGCAACATGTTACAAGTAAATGTTTAATGCAAGCACTATAAAGTTGTATTTTTGTGTGTACAAGTAAAGAGAGCTATTTGTCTGATTTGTGTGAATGACTCCTAATAAAGTTGCCCATGTAAAGTGTTTTAATTTTAGTTGCCCATGTAAAGTGTTTTCATTTATGAGATTCCATGGTGTTTAGAATACTGCTTCTGTAGTAGATAGCAAGACAACTCATAAGCTGATGTATAATGTGAAATGTCTGACTGCTGATCCCTGTAAAGTAACTTTTTTTTTAAACTGTTCAATTGCTTTACTACTGGGGTGTTCATGGATGGTCCATCTATGATTTTCTATTTACCTAATAGGCTGATAAGGACAATAAATGACAAATTCTCATCACAGTCCCTATTTTAAAGTCAGTGCAAACAGGTGGGAATGTTCTCTGTTCTTTCTCTTGAATGGGTTGCTAATGTCTGCTTATGGTGCTTATTGTGTCAAGAGTGCTCAGAGATCTATTGGGTCACTAGGAATCAACCATGCTTAAAAGGCTAATATTTCAAACACTGGCATTTGTTGTTGCCAGGCATGTCAACTACACGAATAAACACACAGTAAATACAAATCACCCTACATATGTTGCATAAGATGAGGCCTCCACAGTTCTGCGGTTAAAAAGTGACGAAAATGACGTGACATGGCCAAGTATGGTTACCCATACTAGGAATTAGTGCTCTGCATTTATAGTGCACACA